CCTCTGACCCTCCCCCCTCTCGTATGTGCTCTCTCTCATTCTCTCTCTCTCAAATAAATAAATAAAATCTTTAAAAATAATAATAATAAATGACCAATATCTTGTAACTATTAGAATTTCTTGCCTTTACTTTTTAATTATAGAATGTCAGTAATGTAGTAAGACTTAAAAACCAACATTCCTTCCAGAAAAAAGTTGTTCTTCTAGCAGCCTTACTTCAAAATCACATCACATCAATTGTCACTTTGCTTCTGCGTTTTGTGTTGACCCAGGTACCTGGGAAGGAGGTGGCCTGGGCCACAGTCCCCAAGCAGAGTGCACTGGGACAGAGTCCCAGGGGCCATCAAGCCACTATTTCTTGTTTGTCACCTCATCTATTTTGTACTAATTCTTTAGGGTTGACCCTTTTTGACCTGTCCCATACCTGTAACTTCAGATCGCAGACAGCCAGGAAGCTTTCCTTCATTTGTCCCAATTGTCTCCATCCAATATTCGTAGTAAACTGAGGGAGGAAATGACACATGAATGATGTTCACAGCAGAGCGAGGAAAGGAGACACCATCCCCCACGTGGGCATCCTCTGCAGCTGGGCGGGTGCTCGGCCAAGGGAGGAGTTGTTCAGGAGGGACTGAAACCCATACCGTCTGCCGAACGGCTTCCAGGTTGAGCTGCTGATCCCTTACAACCTTCACTCCTTTGGAAGGTGAGGGGAATCTGGGTGGAAGTTGGAGGGGAAAAGCAGCACAGGAAGGAAGGAGGAGGCAGAGTGCTTTTTTCCCTCGTTCAAGCTCTGAGCAACTCTTTCTGGGAGATCTTGGTGATTCAGAGCATGCTCTGAGCTCTTGCCTCCTTGGCTACATTATTTCCCCACTCTCATTCACTTTCTGGTCATGACAGCTTTTCAGAAAATTGGAAGACAACTACGCAGGAAATCAGAATGGCATTGCTTAGGCCTCATAAACCGCTTTTAATGGCCGAAGGTGCTGTAAGGAAAACACACTAAGTATTTGCATCTGTGGTGTTCTGCTATAAATTCCCAGGGCTGCTCTGTGGTCCTGAATACAGAACATTTCTGTTAGCCCACGGCAGGAATTTAAATGCTTCTGGGAAACAAAATCAGTAAATAATAATGTTCTTCTACATCAGATGTAGCTTATAAATGTGATCAGAAGATTATCCTATAAAAGCAACGCACACATAAATCCTTATAATAAGAGCATTTTCTAGTGATAGTTTCCAAGATTTTTCATTGTCTCCTGCTCAGTTTCCACAAGTTGGCAAAGCTTAAGAGAAAAGTTTTAGATCTTTATCTTATAATGCGGTCTTTTATCAAATACCAGAACCATTTGCCAGGTAGAAGGCATTCTTGGGATTGGAAATAGACACAAAGGGAGGTAATCTGCAAATGATTGATTTTTTCAGTTCACTTATTGATTTGCCATATAAAAAGCTGGGAGTGGACGAGGCCAGTACTCTTTGTAAAATACTACGGAATAATTTTTTTTCTAAGAAGATAGCAGGACCTCGTCAACAATTCTTTATGGGTATCAGGTCTAACTTACATTGTACAATTAAGTACCAGGCGGGGATACAAGAAATCAGGTAGCTTCAGTTCTGTACAGCTGAATGAACTTGGCTTCTATATTCCAACATCCAAATGTGTTTACTAAGCTTAGCAGAGATTATAATAAAAGGGGGAAGAAAACTATGGTAGCCAGCAAACTTTTGCTCATTCAGAAAAAGAAGGGATATGAATTCTAAAGTAACAATGAAAAATGTCTCCTTTAGAATATGTCTCTAATTTATTGCCTGCTCCTCTAAATGAGACCCTCCCACCCTCCTTCGCCCCCTGGGCTCTTGGAAAAAGTTCTTGAGGAGAAAACTTTTACCCCAAATAACAGATGCAGCTGAGACCTGGTAATAAATAATTGAGTAGCCCTTCCAGCATCATAGGCTCACTTTGTGCTTTTTCTTACTCAGCTGTGTTGGTCTAGCCTCCCTGAGTCTGAGTACCTAGATCAAAGTACAAGTGATGAAGGATATTCTCCAACAGATCCTGTTCCAGGAATCTGCTCTGCAAATCTCCCCAGTCAGTCTGCAGGTGTTTGTGAGCAGGATGGAAGAAGGTGAATAAGAGTTAATAACAACCAGGGTACCTGGGTGGCTCAGGTCATTATCCTGGAGTCCCAGGATCAAGCCTTGTGTCGGGCTCCCTGCTTAGCGGGGAGTCTGCTTCTCCCTCTCCCTCTGCTCCTCTCCCCCTAGCTCATGCTCGCTCTCTGTGTCTCCCTCTCAAATAAATAAATAAAATCTTTTTTTTTAAAGTTAATAACAACCAACATTTATTAAGCATGTACCATGCACCAGAGGGGTTCTGGCTTTAAATTAGTATCTCATGCAATGCCCATAATACCCAAGAATAGTAATATTCTTCTCATTTTATGGAGGAGGTAAAACTATGTAAAAAAAGTTTGAACAGCCAATAACTGGTAGCATTTATGAATTCAGAGTAGTTCCCTTAACCATTACCCATAGCTAGCAGGAGCTTTTGCATTGGTGAAGGCACTAAACCCTCACAATAACCCAACTACAAAACATTATTCTGCTTCCCATTTTCACATTGGAGTAACTCAGGCAGAGGTGACTCTCTCAAGGTCACATTTAGTAAAGTAGAGGCAGAATTTGAGCCCTCCCAAGGCTTATGTTCTTTCTACCACTCCACATTGCTTCTTTGAAGCATTTGGCATGCATATTTTTAAAGAGATCCAGTGCCCAACTTTGTATTTAATAAGGCAAATATAAGAGGAAAACATTCAGCTAGTCATATACTCTCTAGCTCTATCCATGTGGTTGTCAATGGCAAGATTTCATTCTTTTCTATAGCTGAGTAATATTCCATTGTATGTATATGCCACATCTTCTCTATCTATTCATCTATTGATGGACACTTGGGCTGCTTCCATATTTTGGTTATTGTAAATAAGGCTGGACTAAACATAGACGTGTATATATCTTTTCAAATTAGTGTTTTTGTATTCTTTGGGTGAATACCCAGTAGTGGAATTACTGGATCATATGGTAAGATGAAGGGGATTAAAAGTACCCTTAACTTGATGAGCACTGAGTAATGTATAGAATTGTTGAATCACTCTCTTGTACACCTGAAACTAAGATAACACTGTATGTTAACTATACTGGATTTAAAAGTTTTTAAAAAGAGACAGAGAAACATTCATTAGACCAAGAGATATAAGCTTAAGATTCTGCCCTTTTACTTGAAAGGGGAGAGTGGTTGAGGGGTTGTGTTGGCAAGGAAGGGAGTGGGCTTTAGTTTTCAAAGAAGGTGTCGTGGGAAAGGAGTTTGTCTCTGTAATTTACAGGAGAGATGGGAGGATATGCCCAGGCTGCTAGGAGAAGAACTTTTGCATCAAGTACAATGGTGGTGGCTGTCAGTAATGGAAGCCTCAGTACGGGAACTTAACTAGGAGCTAATGTTCCCCATAGACAAGGAGCCTAGTGGTAGGAGACTTCAGGTGTTGTTCGGCTGCTCAAAGCTGCCCCTGGAACCAGGCTCTTTCTTCTTTCACCCCTCCTCCCTTACCATGTTGGCCTTCTCAATGAGAATCATAAGACATCTGCCATGAAGTCAGGAACACAAGGGCAGAGGCTGCACCAGCCACACTGGTCTCATGTGAGCAGAAAAGCAAGAGCTTTCTCAGACCCTTCCTCACCCGCAGCCAAGCTCCACTTCAATCTCATCAGTTAGCAGTGTGTCCCATGGCCACCCCAGCAGGCAGGGAGGCTGGAGAAAAAGCAAGTGCTTACCTGCACCCCTGGCCCCCCAGCAGAATTGCCTCCCATATGGACGGGACAGTGTGTGAAATCGGGAGGAGAGTCTGCCTTGGTTTGGGAATGGAGAGGAGTTAGGGCAACAGGGCTGTAATTGGGAGCAGGAAGGTGAGCTTGATGAGGAGGAATGTGGTCGTGGCTTTTGTATCTGTCATTACACTGAAGAGGCCCTAGAGTATCACATCAATGCTCTAACCCTTCTCTTCCTCATCCTGTTCTTGACTCTCTATTCTTCCTGCCCCAGGCCCAGCCCCAATCATCTGACTCACTGTCTTCTTTTAATATCAAATTAGATAAATCATTGCTCAATTAATCAATGAATTAACGAGATGAGGAAATTCCAGGCAGATATCAGCTGGTGAGGGCCTCCGCAATGGGCAGGAATTGTCCCTGCTTCAGAGGAGAAAGTTCTCAGGAGCCTGTGGAAGGGGTCTGGAGGTCGTTGTAGAATCCTCACATACAAATGTTGGTATCCCAAGCTCTGACAAGAAGAATCTGAGGAGGGCGCCTGGGTGGCTCAGTTGGTTAAGCGACTGCCTTCGGCTCAGGTCATGATCTCAGGGGCCTGGGATCGAGCCCCGCATCGGGCTCCCCGCTCAGTGGGGAGTCTGCTTCTCCCTCTCCCTCTGCCACTCCTCTGCTCATTCTGTCTCTCTCTCTCATTGTCTCTCTAAATAAGTAAATAAAATGTTTTTTAAAAAACTGCTCTCCCAAATGAGGCAGTGACTGCTTCTAAGTGGGTTATACTCAAAACTTAACTCTGCATTCATGTTTGTCTGGCTTCCTTGCCATCAGCTCATTGTCTTCAGCAAGTTTCACCTCTAACCCCATCCCACCACCCACTCAGGAAGAAGAATCAGAATGAGAAGGAATTGGGTTCAGATGGGGATGTTTGCTCTTTAGAAGAGAGGCACAGGGTGGGAGCAGGTGGGTGACTGTTCGCAGAACAGAAGCTGCAGCCGCACCTCAGGTTGCTCAGCTCCTTCGTAGACTCTCCATGACCTCCCGCTTAGAACAGCTCACAGTGTCAGCTTCCTGGAAGATGGGGAGCAAGGGGAACCTGAAGAAGATGTTCCTTCAGCACCACAGTTTGCTTCTTTTTCACCCTGTGCCACTTTGGGCTGTTCTGTTCTCTCATCAATCGTAGGTGGTTCGAGATCAGATCTCTCACTGCACAGTGAAATTGCGCCAGACCACAGGTCTCATGGAGTACTGCCTGGAGGTCATTAAGGAAAATGATCCTAGTGGCTTTTTGCAGGTAAGTGTCAACTAGTTTCCACTTCAGATTCTCAATGTCCCATGAAACTCAGTCTACAACGCCACAGCCAGACTCCCAGCAGCCCTTGCTGAGCATGGGTCCCTCCACAATGGAACCCACTTTCAGGCTGCCATGTATATGTGGGCACCAGCAAAACTCTGCTAACTTCCTGGAAGTCTCTGCCACCATGTGCTACAAGATTGAGAAGTATATGGGCTTCTTAAAATTTGTTTTTGTTCATGTTTAATCATGAAAATGTAATTCCCTGTAAGTTCCTCCAAAGCAGAGTTACTGCCTTGCCTAAGAATTGGGTCCCTTTCCACTAATATCTTGGACAGCTTTGTCAGCTAGAAATGTCTAAATATGCAAGGCTTCTACCTTCTTGACAGTTCCTACTGGCCAGTGATTTCCCAAATAAAGTGAAGTTTTTTCATTCCTTGGATTTCTCATGATTTTTTCAATGTTGATTGTTTTAATGAGATGTGATGATGTCAGCTGAATTTTACTTATGTTTTGATCTCAATGATTAAGGGAGATTTTATTAAGGAATACATAGATTCCTTCCAATTCATGTTTTATCAAACTGGCCAAGAGTGACAAAGGGAGATTAAATATAAGAAATGGAAGAGTTCTCTATCAAAGAATAAAGTGATACAGAAGATGACAGGCTTAAAGTGTAAGAAATTCCACTTTTACAGATTACCATATGCAGCCTCTCTAAACTATTTTATAGAACTCCTTCCAAGGGTTGACAAAATACCCACACCTCCTATTAGAAACTTAGGGTTGTTAGTTCTACTAGGATTAACAGATCACCAAAATATTATTTAATGTTGTTGGCTTTTAGTTGATTAGTCATAAATATTATTAGCGTAGCCAGGTTTATCTATTAGAGCAATTTACAGCTGCTAATTATATAGTGGCTCCCTCCGACTCACGAAAGCACCCAGATTTGCACGGGTGACCCTTGTCATAATAGGCTTCTCACTGCCTACATGGAGATAGGAAAGGTGTGAGTCCCAAAGTGGTTTGGTAATGCTCCTGGAGAGTGTAGGAGCAGGGTTCTGTGTCCAGTGCGGTATTATATTTCTTAGGCTGTGGTCTTTGATGTGATTAGATTTCTGACGCCCTCATAAGGAGAGTGCACCTGACTGAGGACCAGTGGGGGAAAGGCACGCTCACTCCCAGGATGACCACGGACTTCGACCTGAGTCTGGACAACAGCCCTCTACTGCAATCCATTCACCAGCTCGACTTCGTGCAGATGAAAGGTGCGTGCCTGCATCCCCCCCAAATAGAGCAACATCCCGAGTGGATACTGATGCTTGAAGCAGGATCGAGGCTTTGTGCCAGATTGCAGCAAACAAAAGGCAGCTAGCAGGTTTATAAATCACCTAAGAGGCGGGGAAGTAAACGCACATACACGTCTGGTTAATGGTACAAAAGTCTGGAGTGGCTCCTAGCTTATCACATAGAAACGTACCATTGTAGCCATGTGACCTACCTCTCAGAAAGCCAGATAAATCCAGATAAACTCAAGGCTTGCCTCCTTAAGAGTCTTAGAGATGTCACAAGCCAACATCAGGGAATAGCTGACATAAAAAAAGATAAGGAGATCACTGTACATAAATAAAATCTTGTTACAGAAAGTAACCCAGAAATATTGATATAAATCAAGGCAGTTCAGAACTGAAATGACTACTTCCACATGGATAGGTGGCGAGCAAATGGTTGAGCATAAATCAGTGGGAATTTGAGAGGATTAGAGTTGACTTGCCAATACTGGTTAGGAAAATGCAAGCCTGGTTACAGAAGGAAAATGAAGATTTGAAATAAATTTTAACTTTTTTAAAAGTTAAATGTGATTTATGTGATTAAGGGATATGCGAGATCTCTTTGAGACTTTTTGGGTGGCTGGGGGAAGTGCAAGAACCTAAAATTATCTTAAGGAAAATAACTCTTTCAAAGAAAAATAAAAAACCAAACATGCAACAATCTTTTCACAGCAGTGTAAGTAATATCCATTGGAAAAATATTCTTTTTTTAACTTTCATTTTGAAATATTTGTACATTCACAGGAAGTTGCAAAAATAGTAAGGAGAGGTCCAGTTACCCTTAGCCCAGTTTCCATCATTGGTTCCATCTTGCATAACTATCATCTTATATCAAAACCAGGAAATTAAGGGCACCTAGGTGGCTCAGTTGGTTAAGCATCTGACTCTTGATCTCAGCTCAGGTCTTGATCTCAGGGTTTTGAGTTCAAACCCCACATTGGGTTCTACACCCAACGTGGAGCCCACTTAAAAAAAAACACACACACACGGGAATTAACTAACATTGGTACAATGTATACGTATCACTCTGTGCCATTTTGTCAGGTGTGTAGAGTCATCTAACCACGGCTGCAGTCAAGCTACCACCATAGAGACCTCCCTCATGCTATCCCATCATGGTCATATAGTCATACCCACATCCCTCCCCTCTGCCATCATCAGTCCCTGGCAACCACCTATCTGTTCTTCATTTCTGTAATTTTGTTATGTTCTAATCTTTTTTAAAATTGAAGAAATTGATTTGCTCTTTGCTTCTCCCAATTTAAGCAGCCACATAAAGGACTTAGAATTTAGTGCTTTAAAAATTTTGTTTTTTAAGAAGAATCTACATGCTTCCTTTTATCAGACAGAGAGAAGCACCTAACCCAGCAAGTCTTAGGGCTCTGCACTTATGAGTCACATCACATAGCTAAACTCATCCGTGTACCCAGGTACCTCTCTCACCCCTTTAATGGATTTTTGCACTTTTATTTTCACTTTTCTCATTTTTTGTTTGTTATGTATTGCTTTGGGATGATGCCTTAATTGATTTTTGGAGTAGAGAATATATAGATTGTTAATAAAAGTACTTCGTTGCCGTAACAAAAATGTTTAGCATTTTCCTGACTGTTTACCAAACCAGATACTCTCCTAAGTGCTTCACGTGGATTAATTCAATTTATTCTCACAACCCTAGTAGGTATCTAGGGAAACTGAGGCACAGGAAAACTGGATAAGTTGCCTGAATTCACACAGCTAGTGAATGTCAGGGCAGGGGTTCAAAGCCAGGAAGCGAAGTTCCCGACACTGCACCTACAACTTCCGGTTTGTGCTATAACATTAGTGTCTTATGAACTGGCTTCTTCGAGGAATAACCGAATTTCCTCTCTTAAACTTAAGAAATTTAACTTTTTGTTGCAGCACGTCTTTCTTGCTGTTATAAATGTTTTCTTAAACACCCCCACGGTGGTCTGTGAAATACAGCCATCTGAGTAATATATGGAGCCCCAGGTAAATCCCCCTCAATCAGCCTCTCTCTGGATCCAGTTCTCTCAATGAGGTAAAATCATTGAAAGGTCATGTCACAAATAGCTCAGAGGAGAAAATTCATCGCAAAAGGCCAATGGAAGGGCTTTTGGTGGAAGGGGGAAAAAAAGGAGCCAACCCAATTAGGCTTGGTGATGGAGCAGGTAGAGGGGAAAAGCCTCAGGGCTTTGAATTGCTTTCAGCAACTGACGGATCCCTCTCCTCCCCCATTTGCTGTCCTTCTGAATCATGTCCATCTGCCCAGAGTGGAGTCCAGGCCAGTTGGCAGGAGGGTAACAATTGTGTTGGAATGAAGAGGCCCTTCATCTGGTATGGGAACTGCAGGCTCACGTGCTGGGCCTCACAGACCCCGTTCCTAAAGCAGTGTCACTTGGCCGCTTCAGGCTGCCCGCAGACGTATGCGTGAACATGGCTGTGTGTCCACTCCACCAAAGTCTGTACACGCGGCCGAGAATGCCACACGCTCTCAAGGCCAAGACGCAGAACACACTCACAGCAAAAATTCAGCCGGAACACAAAATGATCCCAAACAGATATTTACGAAGTTCATCTCACAGGCCATTTGGGATGAGACTGGATTATTCCATTTTCCTTTTCTTTTTAACACTTCATATTAATTTCAGTTACTGCTGATTAGTATCCTTCTGCAGAGTTAATTTATATGCTTTGCTTTGTGCTCGTTAAGTTTAATTAATTCAGTGAGAGACAAGTACACTTTAGACACTGAATAATTTTTATCTGTCAGATGTTTTTGATGGAAAGGAAAAGCCAAAAGGTCATGACGCAATAGAACTTGCCTGGCTGTAGTTAAGACTACTCCTACTGGCCTCTTTGATAGCTGTTAACATACACAGCTGGGCTGGGTGTAGTGTTAGTGTTTTTCCATAGGATATGCTTGGTCAGTTTAATACACTGCACTTTCACAGCTTGTCAGTAAAAATATCTCAAGAAACTGTACCCCCAAATCCACGTAAGAATGGCCAAAATTTAAATAGCATTGGGAACAGTGCTAAAATAATCTGACCATTAATATAATACATGTACTTCAACATATGTTTCCTAATTATGCTAAGCAGATTACAGTAGAAAGTTAAAATATTTTCAAAGCTACTTAAAATACGCATTTAAAGTTCTGACTCAAACTAACAACAAAAATACCTGTTCATTCTTAACTGGAAATTCTAGCATCTCTCTGGTTTTGGAATTTCATCTCAGGTGCCTTTTTCTTTTCTTGATATCAAAGAAGATAGGTCTGTTACTGGTTTTTAAACTATTACCACTCAGCTACTACTCAGCAAGAAAATTATTCTCTTATGAGCGAAGGATTTAACTGATCTGCCCTTTCTGATTCTGCATCACCCTCAAGCAACTGAAATCTAAGTGGAGAATGCTGGTACCTTTGCTCCAACAGCCCCAGAAAAATATTATCCCAGAATTGTTTTAAGTATAGACAATTACCAAGATTCATGAGTCAGTGCTGAAAAGAAATGCCAGCATGTTCATTCTGAACCAGGATATGACACAGTGACCGAATGCTCCCCGAAGCCTTTTTAACACATAAACCAATGGCTGTTAATCCCTTAAGTGCCTCTAGTCACCTAAGAACTCATTTATCTTTATGAACTCATGTCAAATGTAAGAGCCCTGAGTATGCACCAAGGTCATGGGCAAGGTCGGTGTGATGTGAACAGACCCTCTTATAAATCATAGAGAAAGAGCACCCAGGGGTTTGGCAGGGATGGGGATGAGCACACACGCTGACTCGCATGTCATCTGTTCATGCACATGATCCGTTCATGGTTTGGAGACCTGCAATGCATGTCCTCAAAACCCACGTTCACATTTCTCTGTAACAGTGTACTAATGAGAGCTTTGCAGAAACGGCTTGTTGTTCCTCTAAAGTATAAACTTTCCTAAGATGCCACTGTGTTGTTCAGCCACCACAAAAAGGAACGACGGTCCACCAGGGAACATTTAGACAAGATGACTCAGGAGAATTGCATTCTCAACCACCGTAGCTCTTGTGGTGAAATATTTCTTTCTTTTCTTTTCACAATTTTTAAAGTATGGTTGACACCCAGTGTGTCACACTCGTGTCCACACTGTGTGCAGACAACACAGTGATTCGATAAATCGATGCATTATGCTCTGTATGGTGAAATATTTTGTTAATCTATACCAGCAAGTCTCGGGGAACTTTATCACTCACGTTACAGGAAGCAAAAGGAAACATTCCTCTTGGAATGAGGTGTGGGGACTTCCCTCCAGTACACTATTATCACACACCCGGGCTGGAGAGGCAGCGTGGTACAAATATGCACACAGCCCCTGGGGCCGGCCTGCTGGGCCTTGGACGCCGGTTCCGCCACGGAGTAGCTGTGAAGATTGTCTGTTTCCGTTTCCTCATCTACCAACTAGAGCTGATAACAGCACTTGTTCTTGTGGGGGGTGCTGTGAACATCACGTGAGTGACGACATGTAGAACCTCTCAGCATACTGCCAGGCACTCAAAAAGCACCACCCACCATTAGTTTCCACGCCCAGGGTGGGAGGCCGTGTGTCCTTACATGTCCCCGCCACACTCTTGGGACCTTTCACAGAGGAATCCCGCAGCGTGGTGAGTGTTGACAATCGGCAGGATTTGGGAAAAAAAATTAAATGAGTACAAAAAATGTAAGCTATACTTTGAACGAGAATGGCCTTTAAAAAGGTAAGACATTTGAAAACTTTAAGAAGACACTGTTGCAGAATTTAATTTTGAGCTGAGGCTCGAGTCCCCTTCAAGGAAGTCGGTAAGAACGGTTGCCCCCTGCAACTAAGGAGAGAATTATTAGCCTGAAGCTTGATATTATGGGCCAAAAGAATGCTAAGCAATAGACTTCTGATCAGGTCAGGAGAAACTGGTTCTTTAGGAAAAACAAAGACGTCCAAGAATGGTGGTGAAAGTGTTAAGATTAAGACAGCTACGGCAGTTCAATGACAGAAGTTTCAGTAAAATAAAAATTTCTTAGAGTTCAGCCCAGGAACTGTGATGCCACCCATTTCCAAAACACAAATAACAAGTTAATTTGAAAATACTTTGGATTCTTATAGACCATTTCTTTTATACCTAATAAAGTGAAATAGGATAACATAACACCCACTATAAAATCCGTTTTTCTAAAATGTCAGCCTTAGTCTTTGTCGAAGAGGCTGTAATTTTGTCACATTTGCCTTTTATAGGCCACGTCACTTTGGGGTAAATAAGGAAACAGAAAAAATAATTCTGAGCACATTAAGAAATAGATTTAGACATGCATATGTCTCTATAGTCCTTCATTTTCGTTTCTCTCTCTCTCTCTCCCTTTCCCTCCCTCTCTCTCCATTCTCTCTCCCTCCCTCATTTCACTTTTTTGTTTGTTTAATTTAAGTTCTAGACAATATTAAAATCTGAAGATTATGAGTGGTTAGACTTTTTATTATCTTTTTGGTCTTTTAAAGTGTATCCACTGAGGACTTACAAATGAAGTTCCCATGTTTTAATTACACATGACACCATGTATTTCAATTAATCTGTTAATTATACCTATGCCTATACAAGGAAATTTGAGTTTCTTATCAGAGACACTGCAAGCATTTGCATGATTCAAGTTGAAACCATCTTGTGATCTTATTCTTTGATTTTAAAATTGATGAAATGTAGACTTGCCTGAGACATGAACAAAGGGAAAATG